ATATAAAGGGATATTGTTTCATTATGTGGACTTGAGAAAGTCCGACATACTCATTGCTTTCAACCCAAAACTTAAAATAGGAAGTTATCAAGATCCCAAGAACACGATCGCTACTTAAACAATACGTTTGTAAAATCCCGGCGATCGAAATGCAATCAAACTTTCGCAATCAGGTGCCTAATTAGTCTTTTGATCTCTAAAGTTTTACGACTGAACTTTTCAATGAACTCGTGAGAAACAAACGCAATCATCATATAAACATTTTTCTAGTAAATCTAAAATAGAGTAAAACCCAGGGAAAAAGATCGCGTGGTTATTTGATTATTTCATAGGAATTAGGCATATTTCAATTTTGAAATAACAAAAGTCAGTCTCGGAAGAATTTTCCAAGCATTCCCTGCTTCGATGCGTTTTTATTGCAAGGGCCGTTTAGCGCCGATATGAATTCATTAGGGCATTAGGGTTGTGCTTTATTTGTTTTATTTATATAAATGTTATGAAATGTGTACGACACTTTAATGAATTATTTTTAGGGTTACAATGCATATTTGACTTTTCCCTCTAAACGTTTAAAATTCATCGTTATACTTTTCTTAGTTTGATTCAATAAAATTAACATTGGATCCCAGACAGTTATCAAATTCTCAGACATTTGATTAATATAGATATTTGTACTTCCTTTGACCAGTGGCTGGTGTGACTGAGATTCCAATCTAATCTGTTTCATTTTTATGTAAATTGAGAGGAATAAAGTTTTATTTTAAGCGTTTTAACAATCTTAACGTTTGGCGTGCAGCTCAACTTAATACACAATCAAAGGACAGAATACAGGAATAAGAAAATGCCTTTTATTTGTTATTCAAGCTCGAGCAATATCCCCGTTATAAAACCAAAATAACTGCGGTTAGGTAGCATCTTGATTACAGTAAAGACAGGCCATCTTATTTCTAGGAATTATTTCTGCCTCTCATTCCTTAAAATAGTGAAGTTAAGGGGTACTGAAATCTTTCTTTTGATATTTAGTGCTTGAATGGAGACTTGTTTCCACTCCCCGCATTCTAGTAGAATTTAAATATTTGATCCAAAGGAGTTATTTTAAATCAAACTTGCATTCCGATTAATTAACACCGCTTCACTATTGTCTAAGACAATTATAATGAATTCACGGGACACTATAGTCTTCCTTTTAAACTTTAGTGTACACTTGTAAATTTTAAATATTTGATTTAGGGAGGTATTTGCAATCCAACTCTGATGATGCAAGACTAGTCAGCCAAGACTAAATTATGAACTTATTATCATTTAAACTATTGATTTTATTAAATCATAATTCCAAAGATGTCATATTTAATCCCTTCAACACAATAATGGTATTAATTGGCATGATATGTAATCAGAGACGGTTTAAAAAGTTGTTTAGATTAATGATAGTATTAGGAAAAATCCTAATTCAAAGTTTTTGTTCTCTCGCAATCCAGAGCAAACCACTCGCCGGGCAAGCATTCTTTAAAAACGTGAAGTTTTCACCATGTTGAGCAGTTTTGAAAATTGTCCAATTTGAATCGTCGCCTTGTATATTTTTATAACTGTCCCCCCCCTTGACACTCGAGTGTAAGAATCCTTTCCACACTGTCAATGGTTTTACAAAATAGTTCATGTCAGGAAGGGGGAGGGGTGAGTGTGGAGAACAATCACTGACTGCGATTTGAATGATTGAACATTATACACTTATCATAAATTCGTAAAGAATAAAATAAACATGAGTTACTTGTAATTATCAGACCGATCTTTTATGGACAATATTATATATGTATCAGACTATTTTATGGACAATATTATATAAATATATTATATTATAGTATATTATTAAACGCTTGCTGCATGCAAACATACAACACTTTTTAATTGGAATACTTTACTTAGTTAATTAACACAGTAGTTACACACGGATAAGACGTAACTGGTCCGAGGATAAGCTCTATCTATCTCTCAATAGAGTGAACTTTTTATTCCTGAGAATTAGTAGTTAGTCTTGGTTATTACTTATGGATAACACATAAAGTATTCTTTCTTAGTAGTGCTTACAAAATAGTGTTTCCCGTTGTGATACTACGTATACTATGCTACTACGCTGGGGTAGGGTCAGGCTAGGAGCATGCTACACTTACTACACTTACTACACTTACTACGTATACTACGCTACTACGCTGGGGTAGGGTCAGTCTAGGAGCATACTACACTTACTACACTTACTAAGTATACTACGCTGCTACTCTGGGGTAGGGGTCAGGCTAGGAGCATACTACACTTACTACGTATACTACGCTACTACGCTGGGGTGGGGTCAGGCTAGGAGCTTACTAAACTTACTAAACTTACTACACTTACTACGCATACTACGTATACTACGCTACTACGCTGGGGTAGGGGTCAGGCTAGGAGCATACTACACATACTACACTTACTACGTATGCTACGCTACTACGCTGGGGTAGGGGTCAGGCTAGGAGCATACTACACTTACAACACTTACTACGTATACTACGCTACTACGCTTGGGTGGGGTAAGGCTAGGAGCATGCTACACTTACTACACTTACTACGTATACTACGCTACTATGCTGGGGTGGGGTCAGGCTAGGAGCATGCTACACTTACTACACTTACTACACTTACTACGTATACTACGCTGGGGTGGGGTCAGGCTAGGAGCTTACTACACTTACTACGTATACTACGCTACTACGTTGGGGTAGTGTCAGGCTAGGAGGATACTACACTTACTACGTAAACTACGCTACTACGCTGGGGTGGGGTCAGGCTAGGAGCATACTACACTTACTACACTTACTACGTATACTACGCTACTACGCTGGGGTAGGGTCAGGCTAGGAGTATACTACACTTACTACACTTACTACGCATACTACGCTACTACGCTGGGGTAGGGTCAGGCTAGGAGCATGCTACACTTACTACACTTACTACGTATACTGCGCTACTACGCTGGGGTAGGGTCAGGCTAGGAGCATACTACACTTACTATGTATACTACGCCACTACGCTGGGGTAGGGTCAGGCTAGGAGCATACTACACTTACTACACTTACTACATATACTACGCTACTACGCTGGGGTAGGGTCAGGCTAGGAGCATACTACACTTACTACGTATACTACGCTACTACGCTGGGGTGGGGTCAGGTTAGGAGCATGCTACACTTACTACGCATACTACGTATACTACGCTACTACGCTGGGGTAGGGTCAGGCTAGGAGCATACTACACTTACTACACTTACTACGTATACTACGCTAGGGTAGGGGTCAGGCTAGGAGCATGCTACACTTACTACACTTACTACACTTACTACGTATACTACGCTACTACGCTGGGGTGGGGTCAGGCTAGGAGCTTAATACACTTACTACGTATACTACGCTACTACGTTGGGGTAGGGTCAGGCTAGGAGGATACTACACTTACTACGTAAACTACGCTACTACGCTGGGGTGGGGTCAGGCTAGGAGCATACTACACTTACTACACTTACTATGTATACTACGCTACTACGCTGGGGTAGGGGTCAGGCTAGGAGCATACTACACTTACTACACTTACTACGCATACTACGTATACTACGCTACTGCGCTGGGGTAGGGGTCAGGCTAGGAGCATACTACACTTACTACACCTACTACGCATACTATGTATACTAAGCTACTACGCTGGGGTGGGGTCAGGCTAGGAGCTTACTACACTTACTACGTATACTACGCTACTACGTTGGGGTAGGGTCAGGCTAGGAGGATACTACACTTACTACACTTACTACGTAAACTACGCTACTACGCTGGGGTGGGGTCAGGCTAGGAGCATGCCAAAACCCCCCCTTGCCAAAATCCTTTCAAAATCATGCAGTTTTTCACCTTACTGAGCACTTTTCAAGTGATTTTGCCATTTTTGGGACAATGTTGTCATGCTACACTTACTACACTTACTACGCATACTACGCTGGGGTAGGGTCAGGCTAGGAGCATACTACACTTACTACGTATACTACGCTACTACGCTGGGGTAGGGTCAGGCTAGGAGCATACTACACTTACTACGTATACTACGCTACTACGCTGGGGTGGGGTCAGGCTAGGAGCATGCTACACTTACTACACTTACTACGCATACTACGCTACTACGCTGGGGTAGGGTCAGGCTAGGAGCATACTACACTTACTACACTTACTACGTATACTACGCTACTACGCAGGGGTAGGGGTCAGGCTAGGAGCATGCTACACTTACTACACTTACTACATATACTACGCTACTACGCTGGGTTGGGGTCAGGCTAGGAGCATACTACACTTACTACGTATACTACGCTGGGGTAGGGGTCAGGCTGGGAGCATACTACACTTACTACGTATACTACGCTACTACGCTGGGGTAGGGGTCAGGCTAGGAGCATACTACACTTACTACACTAACTACGCATACTACGCTACTACGCTGGGGTAGGGGTCAGGCTAGGAGCATACTACACTTACTACACATACTACGTCTACTACGCTGGTACGCTGGGGTGGTCTCAGGCTAGGATTGCACAGGCTATGTATACTACGCTGCTACACATGTTTTTTCACATAACTCGTGCAGCACATGCATGAGAATTTCCCTATAAAGCATTTGGTAATTAGCGGCCATCTTGGACATAATGAGGTCGCATGAGCTTACAAAACGCTCTTACCGACTACTTTAGTAAGGGTTTCGAGACTATTTTAGCACAGGTCTTGGAAACCCGGGTCCTGTCAATGTTTGCCATCGACCCTTTCTCCCTTTCTGAGAGAGAATTGGCTTGCCTGAATCAAATTGCAATCAACTGCTCATAAAATAAGTTATCATAAGACTGCAAATTAGCATATTTGAAATTTGCAATTATCAATGTTATTTAATCTATATGAATATACACTGTTGCTGAATAAGTTTTTTTTCTCGATAGGATGAAGAATGAACATCAGGATCTGGATGCTTGGTTTACTGGTGTGCAGTCAATTATTGGCAACAGGCTTATTTCTAAAGGGATATTTTCCACTGAAAAAATCTGTTGAAGGATATGCAGACATTTCAAAAACTCCACCCTTCCCTGGTACGAGTAATACTGAACCACTGGAACCTATATTTGGTCGGTTGGTTATAATTCTTATTGATGCATTGAGATGGGATTTTGTGCTTGGAGAGGAAGGTAATATTGGAATGCCTAACACGAGAGGGGTGATTGATAAGAGGAGCTCCATTAGTCTCTTGGCAACTGCAGATTCACCTACTGTCACTATGCCAAGAATAAAGGTACATGTACACTGGCGACTGGCCCCCATTTTTATGTTACTACCACAAATGGTGACATACATAATATTAGTCTCCAACATTTTTGTGGTAACAGTCGGCGGTTGGTGTTCCGTATTCTGTGTCTGGAACAAATGGCAGGTGGTGACATTTTGCATGTTAATGTTATTCCGTCATTTGACTCCCATGGTAAGGTCATCTCCTCAGAAAAACAATCTCATATTTGATCAGCTTTTTACCTTATAGAGATTTACTTGAAAAAATGATCTTATTGAAGTTCATGGGAATAGTGTTGATCTGTATGTCCCTCCTTGACAAAATATGTCATAAAAAATGCTGAAATATTCTCAAGGTAAATGATCCACATACTGTCCACATTTAATGATCCTTGTTTTTAACCTTTAGGCTCTGATGACAGGTGGGGTGCCAGGATTTGTCGATGTGGTCCTGAACTTTGATTCTACTGCATTGTTGGAGGATAATTTACTTCATCAATTCATGACTAGTGAGAGAAAGATTGTATTTTATGGAGATGATACATGGATCAGGCTGTTTCCTGAACACTTTCTCCGTGAAGAAGGGACCACGTCATTCTTTGTAGCAGACTATACAGAGGTACAGTGTAATTATAATGAGAGAATACATTTTGTTTTTCTGTTTTATTTTATCATGAATTCAATCATATTTTTTTTCAATCAACCACATACTTTAAAGAACCTTATTCAATTATCTTGATAAACCCCACAATGGCCCACATTGATTTTGTATATGGAAGTGATGATTTCTTCTTAAACCGATATAAAGAAAGGGGGTATTCTAATCAGAAACATTATTTGGGTCTGTTTGCCATACCTGCATGGCTTTACATCACCTGTGCCACATATTTGTGATGAATTAAATGTCATCGGAGAAATACAAATTGAACCAAACATTTATTACATTTAAGGTTGATGTGAATGTGACACGTCACATTGATCAAGAGATGCTGTCTGATGATTGGGATGTTATGATTCTTCATTACCTAGGGTTAGACCATATTGGTCACCTGGCAGGGTCTACTAGCCCCCTACTAGGACCCAAGCTAAAAGAAATGGACCATGTTGTCCAGAAAATACACAGAGCCCTCATAGAGAAAGTAAGTATGTCTCCATATCAAGTTCACTGCATAAATTTTAAAATTAGGGCCACTTTTAAATGCTGTGTACAGGCTGTCGGGCCAAAAATTATACCCGAATGAGAAGAGAATAACACTTTTTCTTTACAGAAGAAGCTTTTCATATGATAAGAAAAATTAATTTTTCAATTGTTAGCTAAAAATTCATAGGAATATGTGCATTACCTCCTGACATTTGACATGCTGTAAATTACCTTCATCATGATCAATGCAGAAATGAATGCAATAGACTAGATGCGAGTAGAAATGATCTTGATTTACGTCATTAAATATTCAAAATTCAGTCAAAGTGATGTTATATTTGAAATCTACATGTAAAAATACATCTAAAAATATGGTTTCGAAAATTGTTTATCAACTTTGAAAATTTAATATTTTTTGAAAATGTGACTTCTAGTTCGGGTTGATTCCCCATAGACCCCATATTACAAAATCACAAAAAGTGAAATATCTTTTCTTGTATTGGACATAAAACATTTTCTTTTACTGGACATACTTTAATTTGCATAACTATTCGATACATAAGGGCTATATGAAAATTGAACCACTTAAACAGATGTAATGTAAGTTAAAGGGAACTTTCCACTATACCCGCCATGCTATCTGACCCGAGCGAGTCACCTGGTGGTGAAACTGGTAACTACCTACTCGCATTTGCGTTATTCCAAAAATGGGTAATGGTTCTAAAACAAGCTTTTCTCTAGAACTAGGAAGAGCAACAATGTACTTGATGAAACTTTCAGATATTGATTATAAATTGTCCAATAGATGACTGAACTAAGAATAGTTCTTCATCACTCTCAGAGTTATTCCATGTATATCTCGGTATGAATTTTTTGGAACACCCTGTAGTTAGCTAGTATTGATCTCTTCATATCTATTTTTACAAGGATCATTCAATAAGCACTGATACAAATGTACCTGAGGCAAAACAAAATGCACATCACTCAATATGACCACCTTTTGCTCTCATAGGTGTACTATTTTCTGCAGGATAAGCATTCAGCCAAGCCCAGTCTCCTACTGCTATGCGGGGACCATGGTATGAGTGAACAAGGGAGTCATGGGGGAGCAACTCCAGCTGAGACAACAACTCCATTGATCTTTCTGTCATCACTATTCAACAATGGGAAAGGTATGTGCATTTAGCTTTGGATGACATAATCTCAAAATACATAGTATTGCTAACTTTACATAGAATAATGTACTCAGTTAATCTGAAAAACTCGAGAGATTTTTAAATAAATCGGAAAATTATTTGGAGAGATGTCTTATAATGCATTATTTAATGAATAAAGCTATGGCAACAGCTGATATATGTCATATGTAATATTATGTTTGAATCGAATTGTTTGAATCAATATTTTCTGTTATTTGAAATTCTGCTCCACATTTAAAATTAAACAAAATTTTGACTTGAACCTTGTCCCTGATTTTAAGCCACCCTTCAAAGTATAGTGTGAGCAATATATAGTATAGCTGTTTGTGATCCATATTTTATCACACCCTACATGTATATCTAGTTTTCATTTTTTGACATATGTACAGACCACTTGTACACAAAGTACACAATGACCTTGTTTTCTTTTAGGTCAAACATTTTCAAAGGAATGTGTGCGTCAAATAGATCTGGTCCCTACCCTGTCATTACTGCTAGGTGTCCCTGTCCCTCAGAACAATCTAGGCGTGGCCATCCCCCAGGCACTATCATACCATTCCCCAGGAGACAGACTTCGGGCCATGCAACTTAATGCTGACCAAGTTTTAAGTTTACTAAAACAGAATGTGCAAGATTATCAAAGAGGTAAGACAAATAACCAATTTACCCAACACTAAGTCAAATGCCATTGAATAGAGATTACTTTGGATATTAAATATATTGTTGTATTGTAGAGGAAGGGGTGCTATTACACAGCAGAGCCACACAGCTACATGCAAGATGGCTAGCTCTGTATGACACAGGCACAGTATCAAATACAACACTACACCAGCTAGCCAATACAACTATGGACATGTACCAAAGTGCAACAAAATCTGCAAGAGATAAGATATCATCCACACTCACCACTTATGATACACATGCACTAGTAGTTGCCATATTTATTCTTTATTTGGTAAGTCAATTTATAGCATCTTAAAAGTGACTCAATGCATACTTTTCAATGTTCTTCTGCAAAATAAAAACTCTAAAATTAGAAGGTCTGGAGTAGTATTTCAGAACTTTCATAAAATTATAGCTCTGTACATCCCTGTTAGGAATAAATCGCTTTAATTTCAGGTGTTTCTTGTTGAAGTTGACTTTTTCTGGAGACCCCTCAGAACAAGAAGTATCAACCTGTTCTTTTTCATGGGATCCTGCATTACTTTAGCCTCCATACAAACCATATGGTGCACCAGTCATTCAGCCAGTTCTCTAATGTGCAACACAGTACCAGCATCTATAGTGATATCCCTAGCTGTGTTAATAATCTTATCATCTTTGATTGCACTAATTGGCTCTTCCTTAATCGAGAGTATGCAGGGCATTCTACAGCGGACAGGTGCTGAGAAGTCAAAAGGGTTATGGTCAAAAGGATTAGGACCAAAAGGGATAGGGGTAATAGGAATACTGTTAGTTATAGGAAATGGGTTACATGTATTCAGTCTATTATCCAGTAGTTTCATAGAGGAGGAGCACCAGACATGGTACTTTTTAACCACAACATTACATCTAACTATTTTAGCGTGTGTATTAAGGACGATGCTTCCTCTGTCATCAAACTTTCTGTCACATCATGATTCAGTTTCATCAGCACCTATAATGTCATCACCTTTACCCGATTCTACCCCATTAAGATACAACCTGAGAAACCGTAATGCCAAACTACAAAAGAATACTCAAGCTAGGACCTATGATGAAATAGATGCAACTCAATGCCGTCAAACGATTGTGAATAATCGTACATACAATGCTTTAGATGACAGTTGTGAGTTGAAAGAAATTAGCTTAACAGAAAATACCACTAGGAACTGCAGGACCCCTAGTGTAAAAGTGGTATTCTGTGGATGTCTAATGACATTATGTGGCCGTGTCATGAGGGTGTGGAATCAGACAGGAGACAAGTGGAGACATCTACCTGATGTCGGAGATTGGCTTGTCAGGTATGTTGCATCTTTAAAGTAGTGCATCATAAAGTCATTTAGTAAGTTCTTATTAGAGGCATATAAATGTAACTGCAGTTTTGTCAAAAGTACATCTTTTGATTCATGGGGACTATTTAGCCCCCGTATATCACGAGAAAGTTCCCGCTGACATTGTGAGCTATGAGCTCATGTTAGAAGCGGGCCTTGAGAGAAATGATAAAATATAGTTATAGTTGAAGAACGTCGTTGCCCTGCAATTGAAATAGAGTTGTACTGAGTTTCACTTAGTAAAGTTTTAGAGAAGATTTTATATTTCAATTTTATCATATCTCCGCTTAAGTCCCCGCTTCTAACATGAGTTCATTGCTTGCGATGTCAGTGGGGCCTGGATAGTCCCTGTGTGATTGGAAGCTAGAGAAGGCTAGATTAAAGAATTATCTCTCTTACAAGGTGTATTTAAGTTGACAGCTTACAAAAGGTACAAGTACATAATTCTATTCTAGGCCAGAAAACCAAGGTATCCTATCATACTCTGCTATGGGAGGTTTGTGTTTGATCTGGGCCCTTAGACAGAGGTACCACTCTGCTGTTGGCAAGATGATGCTCATGGGAGGATGCTCAATGGTCTACTTGTTTAGAGCCTGTCAAGGCACTCTGTTGGCACCCTATGAGTATGATGGAGCTCCCTCAAAGTAAGTTTCAAGTCATAACACATATTTTCACTCTCATTTATGTCATATGGAGCTATGAAATTAAGACATTTTTAGTTTCTCATAGCTGTAAAATTACACATTAAAAATGATTTGATACATGTTTACATTTTTCATTTTTTCACATATATCAGATTGTCGAAGAAAACAAAAGAAAAGTATGTATTAACTTATGTTTTTAAGGGGGGTGAATGAGGCTAGATCTGTCTTTGTAATCATGGCAGTCCTCCTAGTGATAGGCTGGCGGCAAAGAAAACATCACTATATCTACGAGGCCTTACTCTCAGTCTGGCTGCTCCTGATGTGTCTACTGCTGAGGCCACATAATATTCCAATAGTGGCCCTAAGTTGTATCCAGGAGTCCTGTCTGCGTGCCATTTTGCCTTACATAAGTACCTCACTTCCACTGCTGACTCTGGTTTATCATTGGATGGGCCAGGCATCTTTCTTCTATCAGGTATAAGTTCTATCATCTTATGAGTTCTGAATGCCTCTTTAAATACCCTTGCTTAACAAGAATAAATATCATCTGTAAACACAGGGTCAAGACATCATCCACTCTGAAGAAGGTATGGACAGAGAGGATGATGGCTGGATCCCAGCATTTGGAGGATGAAGAATAAAGTGAAAACCCACCTCACTGGTATTAGGTCACCAGCAGAAGTGGTAACATATTGTTACAGTCTCCAGCTTTCTTGTGAATGGTGTTCGACAGTTGGCGTTTTGCATCTGTAACAAATGGCAGGTGGTGACATTTTGCATGCTAATGCCTTATCTGCTTAGCATTATTTGGCCATATTTGAGTTATAACACTGTCAATCATATTGCTGAGTGCAAAGCCTTTTATTTTAACTTGCATGTTGTCTTCAATAAAGATACATGTATTAATATTTCTCCACAGGGCAACTCCAACAGTATATCAACAGTAGATGTATCTGCAGGGTATGTCGGACTAGACTCCTACTCCCCCTCTGTTATTGGTGTGCTAATGGGGGTTAGCACATATGCTGGACCTCTATTCTGGATGTTGGCCCTGCTGTGTACGCAAACCAGTCTGTCTCAGGATAAATCTCAGAAGTGTACTCAAAATTATAACTCCCCACACGAGTAAGTTACTCCAAGGCATATAATTAGATTCTTATAGTTGGTCCCATAATTTTCTCTAGATTCCATATTTTTAAGACTCGAGATGATGAGGCCTTATTTATATAAAGCCAGTGGTATATCAGGATTTTGATGGCAGGTACGCGAGGCTGAAGGCCGAGCAAAACTAGGGGGTCTGGGGGCATACCCCCCGAATTTTTTTAAATTTTAGACCTTAAATGGTGCGTTCTGAGCGATATCAAACTGTGCAATGGGGCACTTCTCAATCATTTAGGGTACGCAAATGTGTACCCTCACGTATGCCTGGTTATGCACCTGAAAGCTGACCAAATATTTTTCAGTCTATAGATGTACTTATAAATCCTTCCTTTTTGTTTTCAGTTATCTTGTAATAGGTCTTACCTTGACAATGTGCCGAACAATGACTCTATGTGTATTCACAGTCCTAGCTACTCTCCAGAGATACCACCTGTTTGTGTGGACTGTGTTCTCACCTAAACTACTCTATGAGGCCATGTTCACATTGGTTATAGTGCTAGTGACATTGTTGTATGCCATTTGTGCCTGGGTTAGCTGACATGTGTGAATTGGCATAGGAGTATTCAATGCTACAAGAATCATCAAAGTACAGGCTGGGCCAAAAAATATTACCCATTTTGAATGTCCACGATTATAAGGCTAAATTTTTGGCTCACCCTGTATAAGAGGTTGACTCAGTGTTTCACACTAAATTCCACACAAATATAAAATTCATTTTTATGTCCCCACCACATAGTGTGGGGCCATATTGTCGGCCTAGGCGCGTCCGTCCGTCTGTCTGTCCGTCTGTCCGTACGTCCGGGAGTTTTCTCCAAAACCGCTACAGATATCACCTTCAAATTTTCAGGGATAACTTATGAGTGCATACAGATGTGGATGAAAAAAAATTAACTCGATACCAACTTCCTGTCGGCCATTTTGAAGTCAAATGCTAAAATCCTTGTCTGCAAACTTTAAGAAAAACGGCTTCACAGTTGCTTTTAAAACTTTAACATCTTGTTCAGCTCACTTCATTCTAGATCTGATTAGGTTTTGGACCTGTAAGCTCAGTCATGTCAGCCATTTTGAATGTTTTAAGAAAAGTTAGCGCACGATAATACTTTGTATCATATTGAATGGTGTTATTCAGTTTTCATACTTAAACTATTTAGTAGCTTTATAAATAATTTCAGGTGTACTTTGTTGTAAAGTCTTGTCTACACGTTTTCAGGTGAACCATTTGGTGGATCAATTTCAAATTTTCAGGGATGATTCTTAGTATGAAAATCTAGATCTGATTAGTTTTGGGGCATTCTGGGTAAATGTCAAGGCAGCCATTTTGGATTTTCCATCCTAAAATCTTGTTTGTAAAGTCTTGTCTACGCATTTTCAGGTGAACCGTTTGGTAGATCAATTTCAAATTTTCAGGGATGATTCTCAGTATGAAAATCTAGATCTGATTAGTTTTTGGGCATTCTGGGTAAATGTCAAGGCAGCCATTTTGGATTTTCCGTCCTCAAATCTTGTCTGTAAAGTCTTTTCTACGCATTTCCAGGTGAACCGTTTGGTAGATCAATTTCAAATTTTCAGGGATGATTCTCAGTATGAAAATCTAGATCTCATTAGTTTTTATGCATTCTGGATAAATGTCAAGGCAGCCATTTTGGATTTTCCGTCTTAAAATCTTGCCCGTAAAGTCTTGTCTACGCGTTTTTAGGTGAACCGTTTGGTAGATCAATTTTCAAGTTTTCAGGGATGATTCTTAGTATGAAAATCTAGATCTGATTAGTTTTTGGGCATTCTGGGTAAATGTCAAGGCAGCCATTTTGGATTTTCTGTCCTAAAATCTCGTCTGTAAAGTATTGTCTACGCATTTCCAGGTGAACCGTTTGGTAGATCAATTTCAAATTTTCAGGGATGATTCTTAGTATCACAGGCTGGTATCGAAATATTTGTCCGCTGTGACGGAGCATGCTATTTTTCATAAAAACACTAAGAATACTTCACGATTTATTTTTTAACTCATATGTTTCGTTATACCATACAAAATTACTTACTCCATGCAATGGATATATCATTTGCGGGTAACTTTCACTTCTGTTTGAAGTCCAATTACGTTGGGAAGAAAAGCTATTGAAAATGGCGCCGGAGTATCATACTTCAAAATGTACCATTTCTTGTTTAACTTTCTAATGGCACGATATAGTGACACGATAATATTTACACATGGTTTCAGCATAACTATGAAGGTATAAATGAGATGTTGGTGTATTTGGTCTTTTTAATTCTTTTATAAAAAATAATGTTTAATTTTTTTGTCCGCTGTGACGGAGCAGTTGCAAATGTGAACTGTGAAAATGCTCCGTCACAGCGGACAAAAAATATTAATATTATTTTTTATAAAAAAATTAAAAAGACCCAATGCATTGATATCTCATTAATACATTCAGAGTTATGCTTAAAACACATGTTAATATTATCGTGTCACTATATCATGCCATTAAAAAGTTAAAAAAGAAATGGTACATTTTAGAGTTTGATACACTGGCGCAGTTTTCAATAGATTTTACTCCTAGCGTTATTGGACTTCAAACAGAAGTGAAGGTTACACGCAAATTATATATCCATTGCATGGAGTAAGTAATTATCTTTGATATAACGAAACATATGAGTTAAAAAATAAATCGTGAAGCATTCTTAGTGTTTTTATGAAAAATAGCATGCTCCGTCACAGCGGACAAATCTTTCGATACCAGCCTGTGAGTATGAAAATCTAGATCTGATTAGTTTTTGGGCATTCTGGGTAAATGTCAAGGCAGCCATTTTGGATTTTCGGTCCTCAAATCTTGTCTGTAAAGTCTTGTTTACATGTTTTCTGGTTAACTGTGTGACGGATCAATTTCAAATTTTCAGGGGTGCTTCTTAGTATGAAAATCTAGAACTGACTAATTTTTTGGCATTCTGGGTAAATTTTAAGGTGGCCATATTGGATTTTCCATCCTCAAATTGTGTCGTTAAAGTCTTGTCTACTCATTTTTAGGATAACCATTTGATGGGATCACCCATAGGTGGGGACATTTTGTACACATTTGTGTTCTTGTATTTATATATATAGGGTGTCTCAAAAAAATGTACCCAAAAGTATATCAACACCATAGACAAACCAATCAATATTTTCAGACATTTTTTGCATGGTCTTGTAGATAAAAGATGAAAGTTTTTTCCCCTATACACAGTTTTTAAATCAGTTTTGCCTTATTTATACTTTAACCCGTTACCTTTTACACCACATATTCAATGTAACCTCATAAATTCAATGACAGTCTGCATCCTTACTACTACATTGTTCATCACATTTGATATTTCTGGTGGAATGTTTTGATTTCTGTTCGGATGCTGGTCTTAAGTTGTTCTAGGTCTCTTAGCTTGGGTTTAGCATAAAAATTGTCCTTCAAATAACCTCAGAGAAAAAAGTATGGGCCGTCAAATATGGTGAATAGGGCGACTCTCACAATGTCGTATAGCCCCCTTATACAGAGAGGTCAGAGGTTCAAGACAATGCATTGGTTGGGATTCTAGTGTAGCTTTTGTTGTGTGTATCAATTTGAGACCACTGTGTTTTCATTTGGATATCATTTGGTCTTCAGGCTAGCCTGCCTAACCCTGGAAGGTAACTCCTGAATCATTTGCAGATAATTGACCTGAATATCTGTGTTTGTCCTGCCATCGTCATCCTCAAACCTCTTTCTCTGTGGCTATTTGAAGGTATGTTTTAATGCTCATTCCAAGCAAAAAGACCTAGACCAACTTAAGGGCAACATCCAAAGAGAAATCCAAAACATTCAACTGGAATTATTATCAAATGTGATGAACAATGTAGCACTAAGGATACAGGCTGTCATCAAAATATGAGGTAACATCGATTATGTGGTGTAAAAGGTAAAGGGTTAAAGCATCAAAAAGACAAGACTGAAATGAAAATGGTGTATTGGGGAGAAAACTTTCATGTTTTGGCTACATGACCATGCAAAAAATGTCTGAAAATATTGATTGGTTTATCTGTACTCTTGATATACTTTTGGGTACATTTTTTTGAGACACCCTGTATATATAATTTTTATATAATTGTTAGTGAAACAGACTTTTTGAAAACGTGAATTTTCTTCACAAAATTAATAGCATTCAAAAATACTGAGAGTAAAGTATTTGTTCTTTTGATTAACCTCTTGACTACCCAAAGTCACACCGATTTTAGAACCTGGGATTCAAGAGGTTAAAGAAGCTGTGTAGAATTTTGCAAAACACATGTGGTGAGTTCTAAGAGTAAGAGGACCAATACAATGATTATCTGATTGAGGTTCTTGAAAGTATTTCACATCTTTCACACATTCGCCATCTATACTGGAAGAACAAATTAAAATAAATATTTTGATTCATTTTTAAATAAAATTCTATTTATTGTTCTCTAAATTCATTAATAGATCTATTTTTGTTAATCATTGAAAAAAACATTTTAAGTAACAAAATTATAAATACAAAGTTTCATAAATTGGGCAATATGTATATTAATATTTGATTCACAATTCCTCAAATGTATAATTGAAAAAAGATTTGCTTGATATTGTGGCATGTCCCTGATATAAAGGTTACGAGGTCTTACTCCTGTTCATACATTATACTGGCCAAGCATAAAAGTCTTCTACATTTTCTATACATTGCATATTGCCCATTTGAATAATGAAGAAAAACTTGCTAACTGAAATCTTCAAAACGTAGTAACTTTCACCCAATGACCCATGCAATATAATCAATAAAATTGCTAAGAGTAGTTTTGAACCAAATTGTATAGCACTTTCATACTGGAAAAATTATATCACAATAGATGTAAAGTTTTCCATTAAACAGTTTTAAATTGCACAAAGAGGAAAAAAAGAAAATTCATGAAAATTATCTGCAAACCAGAACAATGGCCACCTTCTACCCAAAATGTCATAAGACAGTATGCAATGCTTATGAGTATTCATATATTGAATATGAACAAAATCGCTTTATTACTTTTTGAGTTATAATAAAAAATGTAAAATTAACACACATAAAAATGGTGGCCATTTTTCAAAATAGCGGACTACTCCCCAAAGTTTTATTAGACAATGTGCCATGCTTAAAGTATTCACATATCAGATATTAACAAAATCGCTCCACTACTTTTCAAGTTATAGTAGAAAATGTAAAAATGACAGCCATTTTTTAAAATGGCCGCCTACTATCCGAAGTGTCATGAGACAGTGTGCAAGGCTCATGAGTGTTCACATATCAAATACTAACAAAATCGCTTCTCTACTTTTCAAGTTATAGTAAAAAAAACGTTAAAATGATCGCCATTTTTCAAAATGGCCGCCTACTACCCAAAGTGTCATTAGACAGTGTGCCATGCTTATACACGTAGTATTCACATACCAAATATGGACAAAATCGCTCCACTACTTTTCTAGTAATAGTAAAATACGTTAAAAAGTGTCTTTAGACAGTGTGCAATGCTTATAGTATTCACATGCCAAATATGAACAAAATTGCAAAAATCGTAAAATAACGAGTAAAGGCCGCCATTTTTCAAGATGGCTGCCATGTGCTTCTTTATTATCTACATTTCTAGCTTTATTAATGTCCTATATAATTTTTTTACATTTAAAACATATTGCTATTACAGTTTTACATATTGCACCTAAATTACTGTAAAATCTGCACTAAAATGGCCGCCATTTTTAAATGAGCAGCCATTTTGAAAATTGGCTTTCGAGCAGAACTTCTATCCCCATAGGGTATATGTGTACAAAATATGAACAAAATCAGGCCAACAATATTTGAGTTATTGCCCAGACGGACGGACAGACGGATGGAGGCGTTCCCTATATCCCTCCGAACTTCGTTCGATGGGATAAAAATGTATCTCAACAGAATTATATATTTCATATTTACCAGATCATACTGTACCATTCTTCACATGTACCAACGTCAACAAAACCTTTTGAAGGTAAACATCATCAAAGACATTATGGAAAATAAAATTGATGACAAACAACACAGTGTGTTCGCCACATGTGACCAATCTATAGAAAGGATATTTGGCATTCAAAATCTGAACTTTAAAAAGTTACTGTCCTGGACACATGTTTCAGAGGTGCATTGTTTGGCTTCCAAGCTCTACTGCAGGTGTGTAATAAATCCCATATCAAATAATATTTCTTATTCTCCTTTATTACCCTATGTTCCATTCACAGTACTTGTCTCTGGGTCATAAGGATGGATTAAAAGTTCTGAGAACTCTTTGACATGTTTTATTCCACGCACCTCATGATCTAAGAGTGGCATTTTAACTATGTGGAAGTCCTCATAAAGATCCTCTATCTGAAAAAAACAATTTAAAAATAAATTTACAAAAAGTTAATTGAAACAAGGCAGCAACAAGGTGTTAACATGCGAAATGTCACCACCTACCATTTGTTATAGATGCCAATTACCAAACAACAACCGCCAAACACCATTCACAAAAAAGTTGGAGATGATAACAATGTCACCACTTGTGGGGTGACATTAAATGCCATCACCTGGTCCCATCACCAGGTTGCAAATACAAATGTACATTCATATGCAGAACACCAATCACAACAAGGTACATTATATAATTTGTAATTTTGAAAAGGAGCCAGAGCATAACATTTTACCAAGAAATAGCAAGATTTTCGCACAATTTAGGGGTATATCAGTGACTGTTGGTAATTGTATATCATTGGATGAGACATGAAGTTTAGGGATTTCTTGAAAAAAGAAAACATTGCTCTCCAGACTTTAGCTTGAATTACAATCCACCTACCTGATCAAGATATTTGGATTGGATTCTATGTCTCGAAGCACACAATCCACACGGTTTCTCTCCCTTTTTCTTAAACAATAACTGGTTGACTATAACATTGTGAGTGTCTATACCAGTCTTTGTTAGTTCTTGTACTAGGCGTTCAGTCTCATAAAGGGAGAGAAACTCAGCTATGCAAACACACACAAATGTTGTCTGGTCCTGAAAATATCAAATAGCAAAATATATATTGAGTTCAATTTACATTTAAAGGGACATTCCTCGCCAGACCATTTCTCTCCTGATATGGTAGCTATAATCAATAAATATACTTTCCACATTTAGCAAAACATGGGAAAATGTTTTAATATGGTCAATATGGATCATTTAAAAATGTAGTGCTCATTTCCAGTGAGCTGCCATCTTTCAAGATTTCTTGCAGGAAGTGATGTCATCAACTCCCAACTTATATAAGCTTCCCCATAACAGTGTAGGAAAGTAGCACAAAATTACTTCTAGACAAGTGATCCTTAATTTCTGTGCAAAAACATTTTCAGAGCTTGTCAACTTAGAATAAAAGAAGAGAATTTCAGAAGAATTAAATCAGATACAAAATTGAAAAAGAATATTCAGCTGTTTTTGTAATTCTTAATAGCTCCTTCCCTAATGCTATATGCAAAGTTGAGAGTCGACGACAACACTTCCTGAGTGGAATCTTAAATAAAAGATGGCAGCCTAGTGGAATTGAGTACTACATTTATAAGTGTTCAATTTTGACCATATCTAAACATTTTCACTGCTTTGCTAAACATGGCAAGTATACATATGGTTATAGCTACTATATGAGGAGAGAGATGGTTTGGCAAGGAATATCCCTTTAAGAGTCCTGCACAAACTATAAAGAGCATATTTTATTTGTTCTCATCTTACTTCTCAACCATTTAATTCGCTGGATTTGAAAAGTTCAATTTTATAAATCTGATTCTTTGAAAAAAAGGAGTGATTCTGTCATCAAAAAGTCAAAAAAGCATTCTATGCATATCTGTATTCTGCCAGCACAGGCACAAAGCTACAACTTGGCAGAATACTAACTAGAAAAACAGCAACTCTACGGAGTAGTAAATCCCACCGAACAAAAAATGTTTTGATAAATAGCTGCCATATAAAGTTTGAGCCAAATCCATCCACTGGTATTTGAATTATCAAAGATTATGTTTTTATATATACCAAGGCATCATAATATACAATTTAATCCAAATCCATCAACTGGTACTTGAGTTACCAAGAATTACATGTTTAATGAAAAATGGTCCAATGGTATTTGAGTTATCAAAGATTACCTTTTATATGAATAAATAGTACCGTGGGTACTGGGCTCACATGGTGTTGCTCAAAACTGAATGATGGCTAAAATGGCAGAAAATAAAAACGGATATAATTTTTTGCCAATTTTTTGTAACAAAATTATTTCATGCAACTACTCTTTACAATGACATGGCTTTTTACAATGCAGGACACCTGAAAGTTTTTGTAAAGCTAGGAAATGAGCCAAAAGTGAATTTTGCGAGACAAAAATGGCGACCATTTTGAAAATAAGTGAGCTTTTGAACCAGGAGTCATAGGGGAGTTTTCTGTATTATTAGAGAGATTTCGCACCTAGTGAAAGTACAACTTATAACGTATACTTATACTTATAGGTAAACGTACAAGGTGTTTCATAATGTGAGCTTTTCGTCAGGAAAGATCTTCTCGGACTGTAATAAATACAGGTCAAAGGGATGCCATTTGTACTTTCTTGAATTGTAGCATGTTTAGTTGATCCAAATGTGTTTGTCTAGAATAAAATAGGCTCATATATAGTACATATGTTATAGACCCATCTCTTCTCAAATTGACTTGTTGGAGATGCTCGTTATGAAACACCCTGTATGTCATATGTTGAGCTACTGAATGGGTCGTTTCCAGGAATTGCTAGAACCTACTGGTTTGATTGGTGTTTCAAATTGATGGTTGAAGTATTTGATTGGATACTGTTCCCACTCAGCCAATTAATTTTAAAAAATGCTTGCGGTCAATTGTTCCACACACATGTAGGCAAATCTTTATACGGAGATCCAACTGTATACGTTATCATCTACGTAAATATGCCGTTTTGTAAGTTTATTGAACTCCCTTCATAGTCTCTAGTTGATGGAGCTTTTCTATAACGGGAATCGTTATGTTCCATTAACTACAATTTGAAATTGATTTTAGTAAATATAATAGTTCGACATTACCCTTTAAACTATACGTATACGTATAAGTTGTACTTTCACTTATGTGCGAAATCTCTCTATTGTTGAATAAAAATAACTTAAAGGTGCAATAATTAGTACAGAGGGGTCATTCAACGATCATGGACCAGTGTCAAAATATATTTAAGTTTGGATATTTCATCAAGACTAACATCTATTTTTATTATCTACAAAGAAACCCCCTAGATAAACATTATTTTAGCTGATATTCCTCTTGAAACATGGTGGATCTTAAAAATATAAAAGTGGAAGTCCCCTTTTTGAAGCTTTGAACTGAATTTACACTTCTTAATGCTGAAAATGATAATTTATCCATACATTTTAAGAAAATAGGCATGTCAAAGAAGATGTTAAACCAGATGTTGCCTTGATAGCTCAGAAAAAATGAAAAAACTTTCCTATTTTCTCTACAGTCCTTATTGCCCCTTTAAAACAGGAATCCTATCGACAGAGGTTTCAAGGCTAATGGTCCAAAAGTGGATTTCGCGAGACAGATGGACAAATCAGTGTTAACTAAAATGGCTGAAAATAAAAAAACTGAAATAATTTTTTGCCTATTTTTTGTAACAGAATTATTTGATACAACTACTATTAACAGTGACATGGCTTTTTATAATGCAGGACACCTGAAATTATTTGTAAACCTAGGAAATGGGCCAAAAGTAAATTTCACGAGACAAAAATGGCGACCATTTTGAAAATAAGCAAGCTTTTGAACCAGGAGTCATAGGGGAGTTTTCTGTATTGATGTTGAATAAAAATAACTTACAACAGGAAACCTATCGACAGAGGTTTTAAGGCAAATGGTCCAAAAGTGGATTTTGCGAGACAGATGTACAAATCAATGTTAACGAAAAATGGCAGAAAATAAAAAAACGGATATAATATTTTCATAGCCGTAGGCAGCGGGGGTTCGGTGGGTTCGAACGAACCCCCGGTCAGGATTTCCCAAAATATCATTTTGCGGAAAAATGCATATAACCAGAAATATAAGATCCCAGAGCATGAGATTTTACATTTAGAAATAACAATAATTTCGCACAATTAACTTAAATGCTGCTTCTTCTCAGACAAAATAACCCATCTTTGGCAATGGCTAAATCAGTCCTTTGTAGGAATTTTGTTTCAAGCCAGTTCTGGTCCAATACGAAGTTATTGAAAGTTATTGAAAACAATGCAGACGTCCCATACTCCGAATGACTTTTACAACATTGACGAATAAATATCTGGAATAGTTCTAATATTGATGAAACACATGTTCTTTCAAATGTGTACATCTCTGTTTTGTTTTATTTCAATTAAAATTTAAAACATTTTTTGGGACGTCCCTGGGGCTGGCAAGTCCCCGAAATCAATTGTGTTAAGTAATTAAAAACGTTGTGAAATGAATTATTTAAAAGTGTATATCATTCATAAACCCAAGCATTTGTTCAAATTTATTCATTCTTTCATTTGTTCTGTATTTATTTACCCATCAATTTTCAAAAGAAAATCAATGATTGCAAAAAAATGATTTTGTTTTTTCAGATACACTTCACTCATCTAAGAGATTGTATAGAATTCAAATTGTTATCGTTCCAGTTTACTTGCTCTCCATTTTCATGTTAATGTCATGATATGTTTAGCGAATAAATTATATAATAAAAAAAAATTGAAAAATCAAATGGTATTAATCTTCAAATAATGAAGGCCTAATTTGTTATCAAGCCGTCTGAACTTAATAAAATAACCGTCGCTTGTATTTATATATGATTTATATCCACTAAAACGTTTTTATTATCAATTGCGGTTGATCTGCTCCGGGGGACTTACCACTGAGCTCCGGGGACGTCCAAAGAAATATTTTTAACATTTTAAAACAAAGCATAACCGAGGCCCACTTATTTGAATAATAGATATTTTTATCAGTAATACGACTATCCCGGATAGTTTAAAAAGCCTTCGTGTAAACGTTGTGTAATCTTTCGGAGTATATGGGTGGTTGCGTCAATTTCAATAACCTTGCATTTGATCCGAACTGGCTTCCAACAAAATTTTTGAAAAACAATGATAAGCCATTGCATGAGGTGATTTATTTTGTCGTAGATGAAGTAGCATAAGTTAAAGAATAAATTGTGCGAAATAGTTGATATTCCTTGGAAACAAATGATGCTCCAGGGTCTTCCAGAAATCAGACGAAATAATGGTGGATTCGGGGCAAATCAGATTTCAGGATATGTGTTCGTTTGGCTTTTTTGCACGTTGCCTGTTTATTTTACTTTGTGAACATTAAAGTTCTTGATAAAGCCTATTACTTTCAGTAAATGAAGACATCATTTTTGTTAAATAAAAATGCAAATTCAATTGTCTACTTAACTTAATGAAGGTACTTAAATGAATTATATTTCCCCTCCCAAAATAGTTTTTTTCTTTACAAATTATGCATAAAAGAATTCAAACCTAAAGATGCTTTAATACATAATCTAATGGGTTAGTTAGGATTGCCAAACTTTTGGAGGGAGTGTCATTGTACAACTTGCATTATTTGAGGAACCCTAATGAAGGGGGGGGGGGATTTGTGAATAACATAAAAATAGAACCCCCGGTCACCAAATCCTGGCTACACCACTGATTTTGCCGATCTTTTGTAACAAAATTATTTGATACAACTACTTTTTACAATGACATGGCTTTTTATAATGCAGGACACCTGAAATTATTTGTAAAGCTAGGAAATGTGCCAAAAGTGAATTTCGCGAGACATAAATGGTGACCATTTTGAAAATAGGCGAGCTTTTGAACCAGGAGTCATAGGGGAGTTTTCTGTATTGATGTTGAACAATAATAACGTAAAACAGGAATCCTATCGACAGAGGTTTTAAAACGGGCAAATTGTTGACAGACAGACAGACATCATTTGTTGTTGCTGCATTTGTTGTTTCTTCATTC